ATCCCTGGGCTCAGGCAATCCTCTCGCCTCGGCCTCCCAAAGTGCTGGGATTACAGGCTTGAGCCACCACAGCTGGCCGACCTTGATCTTTTCACTGTCCTCATAGTTTTGTCTTTTTCACAGTCATAGAGTTGGACCCTACAGTATGTAGCTTTTTCAGATTGACTTTTTTCACTTAGTAATATGCATTTAAGTTTTCTCCTGAAGATACATTTTTAAGAGTCTGATTATTATTTTTTCAACTAGTACATTATCTACACAATATATCAGGTATATTGTGTACACTATACCAGATATAGTTCTATGGTTAAAAAACAAAAAAACCTGATGAATGAGAATACCCCAGTATGAAGTTCTCTCAACCTAGAGTTTTAAAAAAATTTCAGAGAATTCACTGATGCTACTTTATTTTAGCAAAGGAAATCTCGTACTAATCCAGTTCATGTTCATTCATTTTCTTCCTTCTTCCCAACCTAAAATTGTACATAAAAGATATTAGGAAATAGACATGTTTACAAGCATAACTAATGTTATCCAGTGGGGCAAATACAAGCATTGAGAGGATGCTGGAATTGATGGAGAAACAGATATTTGTATTCCTTTTTTATTTTTTGAGTTGGAGTCTCACTGTCTCCCAGGCTGCAGTGCAGTGGCATGCTCACGGCCACCCCAAGGACGACCTGCTGGGCTCCAGCGATCCTTCCGCCTCAGCCTTCCGACTAGTCAGAACTACAGGTGCGCACTACCATGCCTGGCTAATTTTTTTTTTTTTTTAATCATAAAGATGAGGTCTCACCAAGTTGCCCAGGCTGGTCTCAAACGCGTGGGCTCCAGCAGACCCCTCACCTTGTCCGCCCAAAGTGCTGGAATTACAGGCTTGAGCCACTGCGCCTAGCCTATATTCCTTTTTTAAATGATTGTTTCTTAGTCCTTTTGTTACAAAAAAAAAATAGAGAAATGAGCACTGATTGTGGCTAGTGATAGTAAGACTCAAGTAGTATTGTTTGTTGTTCCTTGTAGGCTAGAAATGAAAATCTCAGCAGTACATTAGTGGAACTTTCTGCTCAGGTAGGACAATTAAAAGCTCGTGAACAAGCTCTCACTACAATGATAAAGCTAAAGGTAATTAAAAATAAGAATACCTCCCTTTCCCAGAACACTTTGTAGTTTATAAAGTATATTCACATATATTATCTTACCCAAGTCCCATAGCATTCCAGAAACTTGGAGCTACCACTGTTTTTCTCGCTTCTCTAAATACTCATTTTAGAAATGAGGGAGGCCGGGCATGGTGGCCTGCAATCCCAACCCTTTGGGAGGCCGAAGCTGCAAGTTTGCTTGAGCTCAGGAGTTTGAGACAAGCCTAGGCAACACAGCGAGATGTTGTCTCTACAAAAAAATAAAAATAAAAAATAAACAAAAAAATGAGTGGAGCAGCTTTAAAATACTGTTCTCAAGGCATTAAGAGACAGGACTCCACTTCTGGTCTTTTGACTCCATGGCCTGGCATACCTGAATTTTTAGTTTTCTTCCCAGGTGTCCATGATTAGGTCTCATACAGCTATTGGCAATTATATTGCTTGCTAATATTTTTTTTAATAGAGAGGAAAACTGTCAGCAGTGGATATAGTCACTAACATGCAATATACAGTGATACATAGACTCTGTTGCTGTATCACCTGTGTTTAACAACTGATATACAGGGGAATGATGTTGGTATAATGGGACATTCATGCTAATTCATGTCCGATTTCCCCCAGCACATTAATGTTTTGAAGTGATCAGGGGCAAGCATTCTTAAAATTAAAGAGAAAATATAAAAATCTACAGTATTATCTTTAGTCAAGTAGTAGCCAAGTTTATGGCTTCAACAACTACTATGGTTTCCATCATAGAAAACTCTCTGGCAGAGCTGTGACTGGCATTTTCCCTCCCAGTAAAACAGTGGGTTTGTTAAAAAGGTTGTGTTCCCAGAATTAGTTTTTTATTTTGATGAAAGTGGTTTCTGCTAGAAGCAAATGCCCTTCAGGACATACTTACCAAAGGGAGTGTGATGTGTCTTGGCATTGACTCAACTGTGTTCGTGGATTTAGGATGGTTATATTTAGCTACTTTTTAAGCTATTTTTTTGGTTTTTGGGTTTTTTTTTTTGAGTTGGAGTCTCACTCTGTCGCCCAGACTGGAGTGCAGTGGCCACTCCCGGCCACTGCAGCCTTGACCTGCTGGGCTCCGGCAATCGTTCCAACTCA